TCAGCCTTTGCGTGCAAAACTAGGGTCTAGTTTGTATCTTGGTGGAAAACATTCCTTGGGTTTATTAAAGACTCTTCTGTACAAAGAATATATCTTAATTTTTCACTTTTGAATTGTGCCACTGAGTTAGCCAAGATGGGTCTGTTCTAAGAAAACCTATTTCATAGGCCTTTGTGCATGATTTACAAATAGAAATACTGTTGCTGAAATTCTATCCTCTGAGGCTTTGGCTTTTCTATAAAGTACTGTGTGAACATGTTTTCCTTGCATTTCCATTTTTGGTTTTTTGTTTTGCATCTTCTGTGCTTATTTAGGTGAGATTTTAATAATTCCATTATACATTGTTATAAAGGAGGAAATGAAATTGGTGCCCATAGATGCAAGTTGTTTTGTAGCACCTATAGTAGTAGCGAGCAAAACATGAAACGTTTTCTTATTTTATAAATAACATTCCTATGTATTGTATGTATCTCACTTAGATTAGTGAACTGATAGTTTTCAGTGTAGAACATAATACGAAGTACATATAAAAAGTTTTTGTAGTCCTCATTGATTGTGCCAGCGGTGTGATGCAGTATGAAACAGGTGCCCTGTTAATTCTTTTGACACTTGGACCAGAATCATTACAGTTAATATTATTGAAAGCTGCTAGACAGATATGTTTAATAATTTTTTAAAATTCTCTAGTCTTAGAAACTATCTCTCTGGTTTAGTGAGTTTATGGTCAATGAATTCTGGAAATACAGAAGGTTCTTTATATAAAGTCAGTGTTACATGTTACACACTGAGTGTGCCAGTGTTTTGCAAGAAACTTGTTTTTAGTAAATGCCCACTCTCAGTAATTAGTGGTACATTTGTTTATAGCCCACGAATGGACACATTACCCAAAGAAGCAAAGCTTTTGAAGCTGGTGAGGGATAGGAACATCTTTGGGAATACGTAGGATAAACAGTGTATTGATAATACATGTCCTCTGTGGACGTGTTTGTTTTCAGTCTGGGAAATTCAGTTCTCCATATAAATTACTTTCCGAGTGGGGCCAGGGGCCCAGAGGATGGGGAAACAAATGGGTGAGAGTTTGGGGGTAGGGAGGAGTTGCAGACATTTAATATTGCCATAGAAAAGTCTAAAGCGCTTGCTTCAGAGTAAAGGAACCTAGGCAGTTTCAAAGAGTGGGAATAGAGGAAGGCATGTCAGAGTGATAATTTCTGCTGTTAGATTCTAGGGAATAAAGTAGGGTAATTGGTCTTCCTTCACAGGATTGTGAGGACTAAAAGGGTGTGAAAAGGTTTTGTGAACTGTTAGAACCTACTGAAATGCAGGTTAACACCTTGTTTAGAAAACCCACCTCCTAAAAGATGGTGTCACCTATAAGGTACTGTCCCCTAGAAGGCTAACCAACCTTTGAAGGTCTGGGCCCCACCCAGCTGGTTCTACAAAAATTCACCTCATATGTAAATTTACATTTGTGCCCTTCAGTGTTCCAGCATTATAAGATCTTACACTAGCTACCCTGGTTTTCTTTTTCTTTTTTTAAAGATTTTATTTATTTATTTGAGAGCGAGAATGACATAGAGATAGCATGAGAGCGGGGAGGGTCAGAGGGAGAAGCAGACTCCCCGCTGAGCAGGGAGCCTGATGTGGGACTCGATCCCGGGACTCCAGGATCATGACCTGAGCCGAAGGCAGTTGCTTAACCAACTGAGCCACCCAGGCGGCCGCTACCCCAGTTTTCAAGTCATGAAGCTTAGTTATTGCATTCACTGATCTTTAGCAGGTGTTACCTCATATTGCTTATCTTTGGAAGTTCCTTTACCATAGGCTGGATTGAGTGCTGACTCTGGAACAAAAATGGGTTCGTATCCAGCCTTCACTTAATAGCTTGGGCCAGTGAATCTTTATCAGTAAAATGGGGGAGATTGTCGTGCCTAATCTAGGATTTTGATGAAGATGTTAGGTGTTTAGAGCAGTTCTGGCTCAAAGTACAAGTAAATACTATTTACCACATACTGTAATTTGAGCACCTAGCAGGGTCGTACAAAGGAAAAGAGCCTATGCTTTCATGTGTCGGTCTAATTGGTAAGCTAGACATAACACAAATAGTGTGAGATAAGTGCTACAGGGATGTCTAGGATGTGTCAGCTTTTTGGGGTGTCTGGGAACCACCTGTAGGGGAAGACTGACAACATTCTGCCCCCACTGCTTTCCTTTACAGATTGGTATCGAACCAGGCAAAACATTGCTTTCATACGGTTGTCTCCCTTTGCTTGGGTAAAACTTTTTAAGGCCAACCTTTTAGTCCTTTCAACCTAGTATTTTATATGGAGTAGGCACTAGGTTTTTGTTTCCTATTGCTGTTGTAAGAAATTACAAACTTGAGTGATTTAAAACACAGATTTATTGTCTTTAACAATTTCAGAGGTAAGGAGTCCTAAATTGGTTTTCCTGAGCTAAGTCAGGGTGTCATCAGGCCTGCCTTCCTGCCCTCTGAAGGCTCTACAGGAGAATTCATTTTTTTTTTTTTTCCAGTTTCTGCAAACCACTTGTATTTCTTGGGTTATAGCCCCTTCTTCCATCTTTGAAGTCTAAGGACCCTTGTGATCAAATTGAGCCACCCAGATAATCCAGGATAATCTCTCCATCTCAAATTCCTTAATTTAAGTACATCAGCAAAGTTCCTACCTAGTAGTCCCTACTGTAGGCAGCATATTCCAGGAATAATGGCAGGGAAATGTTAGGGAGGGCCATTCTTTGATCTTTAATTTATAGTTCCCAGCTATATTTGTTCTTGTTTCTCAAAAATGACAAGCTTCTAATGTAGGGTCTTGGCCCTTGTAATCTTGTGTTTGAAACACAAGGCCCTCGGGTCTGTGTATTTCACTTCTTAATTCTGGAAAAATGTCTTTTCTGACACATCTCTTAATATAACCCTGTATTTTTCACAGCATCTCTTACTTCTGGAAATACTTTTTCCATTTGTTCTTGTTGCTTTTCACAGCCACTCCTCAAGGTTTTGAGAATATGTACTGAAACTGCTATAAGGTTTGAGTGTTTGCCTTCTCTGTTCTAGCCCTAGAATAATGCCTGGTGCATTGCAGTCCTTATGTTTTTGATTGAGTGAATCAAGCCTCTTAAGAGCAATAGGAATTTAAATTTTTGATTTTCCAGTTGCTGGCACATTGTCCTTGGTGAATGGTAAGAGGAGTTGGCAGCACTGTGGTGGGTTCATGGAGATTGTATGTATGTATGTATGTATACACATATTACTGTAAAAGACTCAAAGATGAGTTTTATTGTGTAGAAATCTATTATGTGAAAATAGAACAGCATGTTAGGGGAATATAGGAGATGGTTCATGCTGTGCAGATTGGGAAATTTCACAAAGGAGGTAGAATTTGGACAACTGGTGATAGAACAGCTAGTGTCAAGAGTTGGGAGGCAGTGTCACTGGCAGTTGTGATAGCTCAGGATATGACAGCAGACTCAAAAGCAGACCATTTAATAATAAACATTTGATCACGCATCGACTGCTAGTGTACACTTAATCTACATAGTCCTTGGTTGGTTCTCCACTTTGAGAGCAATCCCAGAACCGATTGATTGGGGGGATGGGTCCCAGGCCTTTCTCTTTAAATTCTCCATGTCATTTTTAATGTGCAGCCTATTCTATTAGGTAAGTATACCACTATCTCCATTTTTTAGATGAGGGGTTAACTTTCCGTCCCCCAGGATCACACAAGTGGTGGGGCAAGTATTAGGTTCCAGATCTAATTTGAGTTTTCTTAACCAGAGAAGCTAGGAAATGTGAGTGTGGAGCTTGATGAAAACAGAAAGTGTGTTTGAGAGCAGCTTCAGTTTG